TCGAAGGGCTCTTTTCGCCCAACCATGTGAAGGGTGGAAGAGAGCCAGAGGCGGTCAAACAATGACTTGGCAGCGAAGTATGAAGGCCATTACCAGCAAACTCAGCTGCGCTGGTCGCTGTCGTCTTCCTGGATGAGGACCCCGAGACGGGCCACATCAATGGCTAGAGACATTATCAGACATGGCCCAGTCGCACCCTCAATGGCGCTGGTGCATCCAAGCTATTGCCTTCAATGCATAGCTCCTTTTCCAATCAACCCCCCACTTGACAGCCCACTGCCAGTGCTGGATTTATGCACCAATTTACCAGCTCGCGCGTGCAATGCGCAGCTACAACCAGTGTACGACGAGTACGCGGTTCTTACAGCTGACGATGATGAGGATGATGATGCACTGAAAATCTTTCACTCCTCATTGAAGAAAGTTATATGATGCCGACAGAAGGTCCGGAACGATCATGCCATATAAGGTCACCGATTTGTTCAACTAACTAGGCAGTTTGGTAGAAAATGTGACACTTAGTTCATCTCTGTGTACCTGACTTTCCGCTTCATAGCGAAGCACTGGTAATGCCATCCCGAGGTGCTGAGATGCATGCATACCAAATGTGTAATTCAGCGAGGAAACCAACGTCTATGTGTGTTGCCCGCGCTATCAAGGTTCGCCTCAGCAGTTGAGTTTATTTTCTGCTTCCGTTCTCTATATTTTGAACTTAAAATAAAGAAAAAATTCCATTTGGAAAAAGCTCCCCTTCTCAGTGTTCACTCGAAAAAACCCCATAAATAGTTCAAATGACCGCGCACACTATGCCGCATGCAAAAAGTTTTCATACTTCACATCATTCACATATTGCCACATTATCCATAAGAAATAGGTTGGCCCAAAAATATTTAAGCCTCTAAGGAGAAGACTCGTGATAATCGGGGTGGGCATATGGAATTTTATTAGAATTTCATGTACCACATTGGACTTAGTGTATAAAAAAACACTCCAAACTTGTGCATAGGTTTGGATACGATTGTTTCATGACGTTGCCACAAGACTGAAAATAATATTTCGTGACAAGTTTGAACTGATGGGAAAACAGCTTGTTTGTTACATCAAAAATCATCTGAAAAAGTCTAAAAATAACCATTTTAGCCTAAACGTTCTCCCCCCCTTTGAAGTTAATTCTTTACCTTTGGCCGTCCAACAAATAACTGGATTCTAAGCAGGCATTCATATGTTGAATGTCTTCAGATTTTGAGGGCATATTTTTCACTGTCAGGGGCCTACTGTTCAGAAAATCTCTTTGTTATTGTGATAAAGTTGGCTTTAGTTAACAAATATTGTAAGAGACTGACAAGTTTAACCCAGACCCACTGCCTTAGATACTGTGCTGTACTGACGGTTGGCTCTTGTCAAGTGGTCTGTTTATTGAAGGAACATTTATGTTTGGACTCACGTGCAACTGTTTTGAATTGGTAGATCTGTTTAGGCATACAGTGCCCTGTTCAGTCGGCTATAGTTCAGACCACAGAATTCCCATACACACATTAGCATAAGGTATACCTTAATCACTCTTTTTTTGTCAGATTTCCGAACTTGAGGATACGAAACGAATTTTGGAATTTCAAGCTGCTGAGTTGAAACACAAAGTAGACCAACTGGAAAAGAAAAATCAAGAAATGAAAATTAAGTGGGACGCAGCTCGAATGGAGGAAATAAAGTACTACAAAAAAACAGGCGAACATCTGAGGGTAAGCTTTCTATCTGATTGACTCTGCATTCAAACAGAACCTTTTGCCCTCTTTTGGCTTGAGACACTGAGCCATAGAGGAAGCCAACCATCGTTCTGAAGAGGGATTCAAAAGCTATCCTTGATACGTACGCAAGAGGATATTCAGCGCATTGTATCTGGCTGTCTACGCGTACTTGGATAGCATAATCAAACAGTTTGCACGTCTGGTTACTGAAGAGCCGGGAAAATGTGCAATATTCTGTTTTCATCATGCTTTTTCTAGGGACTTCAAAGCCGCTTAAATAAGTCTGATGTTTGTTTTGGAATTTGTGTTTCCAGTAAAGCGCCCAAAAAACAAAAATATCTTAATAACCTAAATTAAGGGGTCGCTTGTGCCTGGTTCATAACTTGTAAATGGTTCCGTATGAAGGCGAGCGGAATATGAACATTTAAACCCGGCACCGTATGCTACGTAAACTTACAGACTTCGAGGATTGATCCTCAAGGGAAATTTTAGCATCCTCATGCTATCTAACTATAATAAACAATCTGTTTGAAGGGGAAAATTCCACAGTTTGCATCACCGTTTATTGTAAAAAGGATCACTCGTGGCACAATCCAACCGGATCGTGCGATATGAACTGTGCACATTTTTACATGCTCTATAGGTGGCTCTACAAGCATTTTTATGGAATTATTTCCGATTCGCTGCTCGAACAATTAGTCCTTTTGTGTTGTTCTAAATGCTGATAGAATTCACCAAATATGATCTGCTTATCGCCATAAAGTGGCCACAAATTAATAACCATTGGTATGGCAGTTACATACAATTTGAGAAAAAAACACCTCGCAAACGAGAAAATTGCGTATACTCTTATGTCTCTCGTCTAATCAGGATCACATGTTTTTCTACATACGTAGTAGATTTGCGTAATTAAATTGTTCCAAACATTGTGTATCCACAGCCCAAATTAAAACGAATCCCCAACACAGCAGACTAATATTGATAAATGTTAGCCTAAGGGCTACATGACTGACCTTATCTAACTTTGCCTTATGAAGTGCGTTAGAGAACACGACCACGAGTGACTAATCTTTTTTGGAGTCGGACACTGTCTTCGACGGTGTTCAGTCAAGTTTCAAGTCACTGGCATGGTAAACAACAGGCCCGCAGTAACCTAATCCTTGAAACACAATATACTTCAAAACTACTTTTAAGCAGAAGGGTCTCGTAATGAAAAGGCACTGAATACTTGTTCATTTGTTCACTTAATCTCATCTTCCACAGCATGAAGCTAAACGGAACGAATGTTTGGCGCACATATCCCATTCGTGGTTCAAAAATTGGTAACGGAATCTTGTGGGGCAAAACATTCTTTTTTCATTGTGGTGTTGATTCGGTTTGGAGGTGCCGCACCTTGTGTAAAACCTTCAGGTCTGAACTACTCTTCGGTCGTTTTCTGATCGGGCTTCTGTTGGTCCGTTCGCCGAGATTGGCAGTTGTCCTGCAAGACCGGCGAATAGGTCAACAGCCACCTGATCAAAATATAATGAATTCACCCAGGGTACACACTGATAACATGCCGCCACGTTGCTCATTTTTAAACAGAAGCAGTAGAGCACTTGGAATCTGCCTTAATGGAGTTAAGTTGTGCACGAATTCACCAGTAAATTGGACGCTGAATCCCTCATTTTTCAGTGTCACGTAGGCTTTTTGCTCATCTTAAGTGTAAAAAAATGTCAAAGACGAAAAAGTCTATAATCTTCCATAACCGATTGTTTTTGGCAGTAATGAGAAACAGTGAGAAGACAGGAGGAAAGCACCCCGTTCCTTAGGATAATTTTGCGCACAAAAATTCTGCTGAGAGACTTAGCTCCGTGATTTATTCTACAGAAGCTTCCGCACCACGTAAGTAGACAACTGTCTCTCAGTTCACTTTTCGAGCATCCCAAATGGATGGTACGTATGATAATGACACACATTATACTGCCACTAGAGGAACGATCCCAATCTGATCTCGCAACTGTCACTAGTAGATCTCACAGAATTCTGTAACGTTCAGTCTAATTTTAGGTGAATTTCAGAACTGCATTCGATTTACTTCTTCAAGAAAAAATGAGCTGTTTTTGTGTGTGCAAAATGGAATTCTACCTGTCTATAGCACTTTGTTCGTGTACCTTTTCTAATTTACAAATACAGTTAAGACAAATAACTCTTGTGTTCTGTCTTTATGTTCTATCCAGGCGCAAATGGACGCATCAGTATTGCCAAACAGGTAAATCTGTAAGTCTAAAATGCAGCACCCAGTGCTTGCGTGCGATTCAGCAAAACTATCTCAGTCGACAGAGGTACGGGCCAACTACAAATATAAGGCGATATATATAAGACTTCGTTCTTCTCGTCTTACCCACTAGTGATTCGGGTAAAGGTCTAGAGTAGCCTAATTTTCGCCCTCTTAACATCACTAATCCTACAATACAGTGTCAGAACGCCGAATTCCGTCAAAAGATACAATGTTTTAACTCAATTGGTTGGCTTGTAATAACACAGCGAAGAGGTACAAAGGCAAAGAGCTTATCGTAATGGCGTATCCAGTACTTTGTTATTAGGCTATGAACTCATGAAATACTTCTTGGTGCGCTAATGAAACGAACCAACATGTGAAACCAAAAAGAATGAGTACGAACTTTCCAAGTATCTACTTGTGGCAAATATACATATTCTGTCTTCGAACTTTGTATAGATAAACTCACTATCTATTCGATAGAGTCATGTAAAGCCCACAGGAGAATTCAGTTTTCCATCCCGTGATTTGGAGTTTCAATGCGACGATGAAATCTACACCTTTTGGACAACTCAGACGTGCGCTGAATGCGCGGCCGTGTTCACGAACATTACCACTCGCATTTGGTACATGCAAAACCCTGACAACCCCCAGGTCTAGTGTGATGGTCTAACGGTGGACATTGGTTAACAAAATAAAACCTCACTGAGGAAGCTTTGTTGTGCCATAGAATTTCAGTAAGGTCAACGGTTAACTCCATCTGTGTTGAAAGCAACAGTTTAGCTACGGTGCAATCAAGCTTGGTTGTTTGACAAATGAGCCCGGTGAAACGAAAGACAAATGTAAATGGAAACAGGACCTGTCGAAAATTTAACAGAAACACTTTGAGAAGCATAAATTAAATCCACTTGTGTTCCGTTTAAAATTTCTGAGAAATTAGTGTTTGGAGATTTTTTCACCAAGCCAAAGAAGAAAAACTGTCTACACAATCTTTACGAGACGTGATGTCACAGGCATTTTGTTCGAAAGCACATTGCATACAAACGATCAACAAGTAGTAGATACCAACCAGTTTCTATTTCTTTAACAATAATTTTAGCCTACCATGAGACTAAGCTTCTTAAGCTATAGAAAATGGTGCTGACTGTAGTATTTTTTCTTGACATTTTATCGCGAAGCCACCTGGGTATTTAGATGTGAAAATCTCCGACTGGCAGGACACTATGCTCAGTCTCAGAAGCGATTGTGCCCAGTATGTCAACGCCCATAAAACCGAGGATTTACCTATTCGAATACGTGAGAATTAACGTATTTAGCATCACCAGTAGGTTTTACACAAAGTAAAGGCTACCGTATAGTTTGCATCAGGTTAGATTTAGCCAGGACGCCCGGTTACCACTCAAAATTTCCTGAACAAGAACAGGCATTACAATATTTGTAACTGCAAAAGATTGATAATATCACCAGCCACTAGTCTGAAGACCCTTATTCGATGTCCCCTTAGTACCTTCAATTTTATC